CGCTCCGTAAGTAGTTCCCTACATCGTGGTCCCTGGAGTGGATGAGACTTCTGTAGCCTGGTGCTGGTGTTGACGGCGTGGCGTCACATGGTCTCCTGACTCATGACTATGGATGGTCACGATTTATCAGTAATCCATTAATTGCTGCTAATAATTTAATCGATTATAAATGTATTGACCAACAGGGCAGAAGAAGAAAGAAGAACGTCGTACATGTCAGTAAACGTATCATAGACCAGCTGTAGTACCTGGTTGTTCCACCAGGTGGAGCCTCTCACTGTTTAATCCTGTAGAGACCAGAGGAGGCGTCTACAGACTACAGCTCATGGTGGCAGCAGAGAGCATTGTGGGAGTTTAGCAGCAGCGGGACCATGACAGGAGGAGGTTGATGTGGTCCAGACAGAGCTCAGGTGTTGAAGACCAGCTGGAGTCGACTCGTCTACAGCACAGAACCTGTTTGTTGGACCAATCAGATGATTGTCATCAGTTCATCAGTACTGACTGATTATGAATCTAGGAAAGTTCTAAAAGTTTGCATCCGGGTCTGTTCTGTTCTCTGTTCGGCCGCTGTGACTCGGTTCTGACCTGCAGACGGGTTCCTACAGTTAAATGTGTTTCCTGCTTCCAGAACAAACCAAACCAGCCCATCCATGTGCAGGTGCTGCTGGCTGCAGCAGCTAATGGATCAGAACCGTCCTGTTTGTTTAATGGAGGTCGTGAAGGAAGTAATGAGTGAAAATGTTTGTGGCGGCGTCACCAAACGGAGGAACACATGTCGCTGAGTCATCGGCTTAATATTCACCGTCATGCCGGCGCCGCAACAAGTCGCTACGAGACGTGTCAAACGTTTGGCCGAGTCCGACCCGTCCGTCTGAGCAACGAGATGCTAGTAGATCAGGGAGGGAGTTCTCCTGTGGCCGCGGTGGGAGGTCCAGTAAGACAATGGATGGAAGGATAGTAAAGCAGAGAGCATCATCCTCCTCCTCCTCCTCCTCCACCTCCACCTCCTCCTCCGCCTCCTCGTTGGCTTCCAGGTTTAGACTCGTTCCTCTGTCCTCCCTCTCAGTGCCTTGTTGTGCAGGCATGTGAAGCAGCATGAGAGAAGGTCCTGGAGGAGCTTCATGTTCCTCTCTGTCCTCACACTCTCCGCCCACCCACACCAGACCTCCAGCAGCACTCGGCAGAAACCCGAGTCGCTGCTGCAGGTTCTGAGGCTCTCAGAGACCTCGTGGCAGCGAGCAGAGTGGAGACGGATCGGTCCGATCGGCGCTCTTCATGAGAGGTGGACAAGGAGCGTTTTTAAGCTCTGCTGGAGGCGTTTGTGCTTCACTGATATCTAGTCAATGAGCCACCGGGTAGAGTCACGATTATCTACAGCAGAGACACTCATCTGATCAGGAGGACACGTTCAGACATCACACAGCACACGGTGAGGTTAGAAAGAACCACCACAGGCACCATCAACGCTCCTTCTGCTGGAGAGGTTCTCTGTAGAGAACCAGAACAGAACCAGTGGCCTCGTTCAGAAACCAGAACAGAACCAGAGGCCTCGTTCACACCTTCAGCTGTCTTTTATAAAAATCCACAAACTGGGATCAAAAACTGAATTTCTAGCAGTTTAGTTTAAACAGTCGGATCCCAGCTGCACCGTTTTTAACAAAATTTGGTGCAAATTGTCTTTTTTTTGGACAAACTTTTAATGCAGTATCTTCAATTTGTTTATTTTTTCCTACAGAGCCAAATGCAACACGTGATGTGTTCAGGGGTCGTAGGAAAATTGAAAATGCGGTGACTTTCTTCTGTTTTTACGGTTTCTGGTTCTGATAAATGGTGGATTTTTAAATCATTTGTACAGATAACCTGCCTGTAAATGCTCTGGTGGGTTTTGGGTTTAATATTAGAGAACAGAAATATTTTTATTAATATTCATATTTAACGTAAATAAATGGAAGATGAGAAAAATATATTGAATTTGTGTGATTTTGGGGATTTCTTTTCTTAATTTTCTTAATTTTTCCACAATTTGGAGGAAGTCTCTTTTGTTTTTTTGCATTTTTTGAAAAAATTAAACTTGTAGAATACAATTATTTTCATGAAGCAACACAATTTAATGCTAGAATCTGGTTATTTTTCCTCACTGAGCTGCATCCTGGTTCGTTCACGGAGCTTTTCAGTAAACATTAAAACTCCAACATTCATTCCAGCCTCATATTATTCATATTTGTCGAACTGCAGCAGACGTACGACTTTGAACGCCTCGCTGGACGTGAGAGAGAAAAGCTCAGAGCCTTGAAGTGCTTCTGACACAAAAGCAGCCGTTGAGTTCTCTCTGCTTCTATATTTACGGTTTTGGTTTCAGTCGCTGCGACCCGTCGGCAGCCTCAGAACCTAGAAGTGCTTTCTGAGCGACCTGACACCATCTTGACCGCCTGAGCGGCGCCTCTCCAGACGCGAAGCCTCCTCGTTCCGGGCTCTCTGGTGACCCCTCGTCTTGTGAAGAGCTGCTTTTAGCCCGGCTCTCAGGGGGGACGAGGTGGATCGGCTCTTCTCTCTCCTCTGAACGGTATCAGAACCAACTTGACCTCCGGGAGCCTCGGCGGCCCGCCTGGAGGTCACGCCGCCGTTGAAAGCAGAAATCCCTGAAGAGGCGCGACACCCTGCAGCAGAGGATTGTGGGTGTTCGCTTTGTTCAGCCTCAGATGGGCTCCGCGGTCCTGTCGGTGTCTGAGGCGGGTTTTTCTGGGTTCCAGTCGGAGTCCTTGAGGCTGGTTCTGCAGACGGACGGACGATAACAAGCCAGATATCAGAGCAGAGTGTCGTCCAGAGCAGGAAAGTGTGAATGTCAGAAACTCTCAGCGTCTCGTGTGATGTCGAGCAGACGAGCCTCTGCAGACTGAGCATGCTCCGACTTTATCACAACCCAGAATAGTTCTGCTATTGTTCTGCTTCCTAAACTGTGGAGGTCGTGTTCTTTATAGCAGATGTGGACGGTGTGGAGCACAGCGGGTCAACGTAGCACGAGATATCTGGAGGAATTAGGACTTTTCTCTGTGTTTTAATTGGAGTTTGTGACCTTTTTAAAATGTATTCTCAGCCTTGCTTCTATTGTTGTGTCTCTTTGGGCAGTTTTCTGTCATTTAGCTTCTCGTTTCTGATGTTTTGCATCTCATTTGTCTAATTTTATGTCTCATTTTTGTTGTTTTGAGTCTTATTTTGGTAATTTCCTCTCATTTCTGCTCTTTTGAGTCTTATTTTGGTAATTTTTTGTCTCATTTTTGCCTTTTTGTGTCTCACTTCTGCTGTTTTGCATCTCATTTCTGCTGCCGTCCTCTCCTTTCTGCTGCCGTCCGTCCAGTACTTCCTACTTCCTCCTCCATTAATGCGGTGGTGTCAAAGCGCCGCCGCCGCCTGCCGCTGATCCGCTCTCCGTTAATGCTTGTTGTCAGGCCTGTAAAACCCACAGAGAGCGAAGAGGAGGCCCAGCAGAGCGTAACATAAACCAGATAATCCCCCTGAACCGGACCAGACACAGCGCTGGGACCCACTCGGGCACCGGTTCTGACTACGCACCGCTGCTCCACATCTTTGATCGGCCACTTTCTGAGCATGTGGCTGGACGTGAACTTCTCTGGTTGAAGATTTGTTTCACTGTCGTGCTGCAGAGAGTTCAAGTGGACATCTAAGGTTCAGTCCTGCTCTCTGCTCCGTCTGAGGCTCCAGAACCAGAACCAGAGCGATGCGGTGCAGAACCATCACCGTGTGTCTCAGGTGGTGAAGACTCTCCGTTAGCTTTAGCTCGCCGTAGCAGACGATCAGTGTGGTTCAGTCAGAGCTCGTTAGAAAAATTAATAAACTGGCTTAAAAATCTGCAGCAACGGGGCAAAAAACCCACAAACAGACAGCAGCATGTAAAAAATGTGGAAAATAGCAGAAAATATCTGTAAAATAATCTGATTTTAATCCTGAAAACTGATTTTATGGTCAAACTCTGCAAAAGAACAAATGAACGTTTATAAAAATATAGATTTTTGATGTGAAACATGTTTTTTGTACAGTTTTAATTATTTACGTTTTTTTAAACACATCAAAGTGTAAATTAATATAGTTTTTGGCAATTTTACTAAATATTATCCAACATTTCTCAAATCTCTAAAATAACATTTTGAATAATTATTTCCCTTTTTTTTCGTGTAAAGAAAATATCTGTAAAAAAAAAATTGATTTAAACACCATGAAAATAATTTTATGGTCAAACTTAAAATAAATCAACATAAAACATTTTTTTTAAAAATAGGGATTTTTTAATGTGGACATTATTATTATTTTGTTTTTAAACTTTTGATTATTTTTTCCACAGTCAGCACTTAAATTCATACATTTATCTGTAATTTTATAAAATTTTATCCAACATTTAATAAAGCAAGAAAAAAAAAAGAAAATTAATTACCATTTTTTAATACTGAATATACTTTTATATATATATATATATATATATATATATTATTGTAAAATGTAAAATATAATTAACATTTATAAAAGTAAGTTTATTTTTTGGGCATTTTTGTGGGATTAACATGTCAGTCAATGTGTTTGGGTTTTTTTTGTAAAATAGTTTTAAATAAATTATTTTAAAAAATAAAATGCAGGTAAAATTCTCCAGAGAAAAAATAATTTTATTTAATTAATTTTTTTTAATAGAACCTGTTTCGATAAACTTTATATTTTTGGCAATTTCTTTAAATTAAGACAGTGACGGGTTTTCAGTTAAATAAAGTTCTCTGACACAGACGAGTAGTTTAAGGACCGTCGGACAGTTGAGAACCCGCTGGTTCCTCCTGTTTTCTGTACAGTTCCTGTCTCTGGTGTTTTTCTGACGGCGTCTCTTTGAGGAAAGCAGCTTCGTGTTCTTCCACGTTCAGACTGAACCCGACGGCGTCCAAAAATAAACCGTCAGAAATGTTCGGCGGCTCGATATTTAGCGATTCTGTCTCTCAGCTCTCATGTACATCTGCCTCCGGATCGATTCCTCATCAGCAGCGAGAAAACAGAGAAAACACAAAAACAGTCTGTCGGCCGCCGTCCTTCAGCAGCTGGAGGCCCAGAAAGGCTTCGCTCAGCAGCTCGTCTGGTTCCTCAGCAGGACGCTGGTCCGAGCTGCTGGTCCGACCGGCTGGTCCGACCTGCTGGTCCGGCCTGCTGGTCCGACCTGCTGGTCCGAGCTGCTGGTCCGAGCTGCTGGTCCGAGCTGCTGGTCCGAGCTGCTGGTCCGACCTGCTGGTCCGAGCTGCTGGTCCGAGCTGCTGGTCCGACCTGCTGGTCCGACCGGCTGGTCCGAGCTGCTGGTCCGAGCTGCTGGTCCGAGCTGCTGGTCCGACCTGCTGGTCCGGCCGGCTGGTCCGAGCTGCTGGTCCGAGCTGCTGGTCCGGCCTGCTGGTCTGAGCTGCTGGTCCGACCGGCTGGTCCGAGCTGCTGGTCCGAGCTGCTGGTCCGAGCTGCTGGTCCGACCAGCTGGTTCTGGCCTCGGTCCGGGCGTCTGGGTCTCGGTTGTTTGGTTGGTTTTTGTTTTGGTTACTATTTTGTGGCCTTTATGTAATTCTGTGTCTTGTTTTTGTTCTTTTCTCTCTATTTGTTGATGTCTTTTGTTTCATTTTTCTTCTTCTGAACACGTTTTTTTTCACTTTTCACTCATTTTCCGTCTCGTTTCTCGTATTTTGTGTCGAGTTTGTTTGTCGTTGTGTCTACGTTTTCTTGTTTTGTGTCTTTTGTGGGACCATTTTGTCACCACGTGTCATTTTGAGTCTCGTTTCTGTCGTTCTGTGTCCAGTTTTGATCTTTTTTTTTGGTAATTTTTCATGTTTTCTGTCTCGTTTTTCTCTTTTTGTCTCTCTTGGGGACGATTTTGTCGTCTTTAATTAATTCTGGGTCTTGTTTCTGTTCTTTTGTGTCGCTTTTATGTGAGTTTGTGTCTCGTTTCTGTTGTTTTGCATCATTTTCCATCTGGTGTCTTGGTTTTCATGGGTTTTTTTCAACATGTTTTTCACTTTTCAGTCGTTTTCTGTCTCGTTTTTGTGTAATTTTTTCTAGTTTTCTGTCTTTTGGTCTCACCTGGGGACTGTTGATTCTAGTTTTTTTGCCGGCGGTTTATTTTTGGCGCTTCTTCTTGTTTTTGTTTTGTTTTTAATTTAAATTAAACTCTGATTTTGGTTGAAATATCACCATGTTGAGCTCTGATTTTGTCGACTTTCAGGACAAACCTACACGTCAGACAGGATCAGTTGGAGGAATGTTAGAAATCGGACCTTCTGGTGTCGTTTTTGGTGATTTCTTTTTAATAGAACAAACCTTTGTGAAGGTTTCGGGGCTCAGAGGGTTCATCATCTGCATTCATTCCGTCCTCAGCGTCGCACCTGATCTGTTGGTTTTTGTTCTTTGAGCTTCATTGCGTTTCGATCGTTAAAAACTCCGATTTTTGTGTTTTACCTCCAGAGTTGACGCGTTGTTGTTGTTGTTGTTGTTGTTGTTGTTGTTGTTGTGCAGGAATCATGGCAGGCTGCATGTAAATGATGGAGAGGAAAAGTAAGAAGGTGAATGAAGCACATGGAGACATGAAGCGAGCCCGCCGGACTCGGGGATGAACGTCTTCTGGTTTCTTTGGGACCATAAACTGAAGGTCTTTGCTTCGTGCTGCCGTTTACAGAATCTGCAGTTTTGTGACGTTTTAAACAGAATGAACATAAAATGAACCAGTTTTGATCATTTTAGGCTTTAAAACAAAGCTGAAATCTTGTAGTTCTTTCTAGTTTTACAGGTTCTGGTTCTGATAAAGGGTCTCAGTCGTAAAGAAAACGTGTGGTTCCAACCCGGCGGCAGGTTTCAGGGTTCAGACGATTAAACTTTGCTGATTCTCGTGATGAGAAGCGGCTGTTTGTCGATGCTGTCTGCCTTCGTAGACGTGAACAGAACCGTCCTGATGCCGGAGCGGCGCCGCTCGTCCTCCGGGCTTTCACTCAGTGTGTCAGCGTTCGGTCCGGAGGCCGAGGCGGGAACGAGGAATGTTAGAAAACATCCGTCAGAGCGATTCGCCCAGACGGAACGCAAACCCAAAACCAGAAGCAGCGTTTGGATGTTCTTCCTGCTGACGTGTCGGTTCTGGTCGGAGAACACGACCTGGTTAAAGTGTTTGTCTGCTCCTTGTTCAGTCAGCAGCTGGATAATTATGGGATGGTTTGTCATTAAATTGGGTTAAATGGTCTCCAGGTGACAGCGAGTCAAAGAGGATCGGATGATAAACGTCCGACAGCTTGCAGAGACAATGCTACATGCTAACATTAGCATGTGAAAACCCAGGATTCGGCGGTGATTTCCCCCAGGACACAAACCGTGGCCTTTCTCACCGCAGCTGTTTAATCACGGCTCCATTCACACGGCGCTTTGTGGCGGCGGACATTTTGGCTCTGGTTTCAAGCTAACCGCTACGCTCAGTGAAAGCAGCTTTAACTGAGCTTCATCACCAGGACCCAGAATCCAGGCGAAGGCAGCTCCAAATGCTAAACTTTAGCATCCGTGCTAATGCTAATATGTTAAAATGCTAAACAAATGTGCTAACGGCATACATTTACAGGTAACAAGCATTTTAAAATGCTAAAGTTCTGCTGGAATTAACTTAGAGTGAAGCAAAGTTCAGTCTGAAGTTTCCTGAACTCGCTAAATTAAAAGTCGTTTATTTACT